TCTCCAGGTCCATCCATGTTGCTCTAAATGACATTATTTTATTCTTTTTATGGTTGAGTAGTATTCCACTTACAAATATACCATAGCTTCTCTATCCAGATATCTGTCAATGGACACAGAAACTTGTTTTTGATCCCAATATAAGAATTGTATAATTGTGTAGGAAACCACCTTGATGAAATAGTATCCTCCAAGTACACTTGCAGGCACTATCCCAGAGGTTTTAGAATCCAAAATCTCAGAGAACTTTAGATGATGGAATACTATAATTTTTAGTCAATTTAAAATACACAATGAGAAGTTAGGAGAGAGAGATGGGATAGGTTTACAAACTTAGGACAGATGGCAAACTGGAAGATTTACTACACCTGAATCCTGAGGTACATGATTCAGGAGCAAGGGAGTCCAAAATACAGACGGTGCTTGGTGTCAGTATCTACCCTTATTTTATTGGAAAAACCCAGGAGCAAGTATTGCCACAGTTGTAGACAACCTGTGACTTGATGGGCATCATGTTTTTTATTTATTGGTTAATGTATTTTTTCTGTGTGATACTGACAGGACAAATGGGATACCTCTGTGCCTTCTATAAATGTAATGTCTTACACATTGTAGACTCATGTATACTTGGTATTTCCATCCCTTCCTATTTTCATCAAGGCTCTACTTTATGTCTAATGAGTCATACTAGCTACTTCCTTCCACACTTAGTTTCATGTATCCTTGATGTTTCTCTTATTAGCAGAGCTCAGTATTCTTTTTTTATTTTAAAGTGAAGTATAATTAACACAGAGAAATCTCCCTATATCCACAGGTTCTTCAACCACAGATTCAACCAAACTTGGAATTCAGTCTGTGGTTGGTTAAATCTGTGGTTGTGGATTGTGGGCATGGAAGACCAACTGTACTATGCCATTTTATATAAGGGACTTGAGAATCCCTGGATTTTGGTATCTGGTGGGGGGTCCTGAAGCAATCTCCTGCAGATATCAAGGGAGGACTGTGTAACATTACCTTAGTTTCAGGAGTACAGTATAATGATTTAGTATTTTTATATACTGGGAAATGATCACCACAATAAGTTTAGTTAACAACTCTCACTGTAGTTACAATTTTTTTTGTGATAAAGACTTAAGATTTGCTATTATCAGCTTTCAAATATACAATACACTGTTGTTAACTAGTGTCATCATGTTGTACAATACATGGCCCAGAACTTATTTATAACTGGAAGTTTGTATCATTTGACTCCCCTTACCCATTTCACCTGCCCCTACACCTTGCCTCTGGCAACCACTAATCTGTTTTCTATATTTACAAGATTTTTTTTTCTTTTAGATTCCACATATAAGATCATATGATATTTGTCTTTCTCCAGCTTATTTAACTTAGCATAATTCCCTCAAGGTCCATCCATGTCACAAATGGCAAGTTTTTTATGGCTGAATAATATTCCACTGTGTGTGCACACACGTGCATATGTATATACTGCAATGTCTTTATCCATTCATTCATTGATGAACACTTAGGATGTTTCCAGATCTTGGCTGTTTTCAGTAATGCTGCATGCCATGGGGAGTGCATATGTCTTCTCAAATTAGTGTTTTTGGTTTCATCAGATAAATACCCAGAAGTAGAGTTGCTGGATCATATGGTATTTTTATTTCTAATTTTTTGAGGAATTTTCTGTTTCCCATAGTGGTTGCATCAATTTACATTTCAACAACAGTGCACAAGTTTTCTCTTTTCTCCATGTTCTCACCAACACTTGTTATTTTTTGACATTTTGGTGGTAGGTGTGAAGATGGTGCTCACCAGCCTCTGTCCCCACAAAGTATCCCAGCAGGCTCCAGTATGATGTTAAATAGATGCCTGCTTCTCAGTCTGACATTTTAAGATTGAAAATGAGCTTCCTTTATATACAGTCTGGGTGCTTCTTGTTCTGTTGTTTCTATATCCAGCCCTGGGGCAGGTAAGTCTGAGCATGTCAGCCCTTTAAGATTTGTTAGTTTGCTGTATACCCTTGTGGGTCTCATAAATGCAAGCAAGACCCATTGACTTTCAAAGGTAGATGTTTTGGGGGCTCATCTCTCAGGTGCAGATCTTAAAAGTTTGAGTCCCAAGTATGGGGTTCAAACTCTTTACTCCTCAGGGACAAGATCCGGGTTTTGTGTTTCCTCCTGAATGTTGGATGCTATGCTCGGGGTGGGATTTATGGCAAGATTGTGTCTCAGCCTCTCCTACTTTACATGCAGTAAATATGATTGTCATGAATGTTCTCAAGCAGATCAAATAATACATTCCACAAAATTTGGAGAGTATCAAGTTAGTACCACTTCACTCTTTACCCTGACATTTAGATTAGCTGAATTACCATCTGATAGTAACATGTGCAAGCTCAACAGGGCAAATGAGAAAACTTCGTGGAACATTTCTAGCAAATTTCCAAGTGTGGGGCTTTCATCTCAGGATGCTTATGTAGCTTTACTCTCTTAGGTCGTTCTGTTTATAAATCAAACTAATACCAGCAACAGATCAAATAAAACTGTTACACAGATACTGAAAACTGTGACTTAAATCTGGGCGTTTCCAATTTTCTTGTGTATGTAAATCACTTGAGATTCCTATTAAACTACAGATTCTGGTTCAGCAGTTCTGGGATAGAACTTGAGTTTCTGCATTTTTAACAAGTTTGCAGGTGATGCTGAAGCTTGCTGACTCAGATTTCAGACAATTAAAGAAACTAGACTTTAAAACATTTATGTTGGTCCTAGGTATGTCACAGTTCCCCTTCATGAGTGTATAGAATGGAGCATTTCTGCAATGTGTACACAGAAGCTTACTGACAGCTGGGAACAGCCAGGGAAAGGAAATAAGAATAGGGACAGTAACTCATGCATGGATACAAGCAGTAATATATAGTTACGGTAGCAATATCAAACAACATTGATGTCAGACACATTCAAAAATTAAAAATGTAAAGCAAAATCCTTTTTCTAATAAAGGAGATCTTTATTTTCACAAAAATTTGATAATGCAACTGCCTTTAAGCCATGAAAGGAAAAAGCAGAATATGCCTTTATGTATTTGATACAAATATTAAACTTAACTCATTTGTAGTTCATTAGCTCAACTCTCTGCAAATAACACAGAAAAAGCAATCATAGGTAATTCTGTTTGTATAGGCACCAAAATGTAATGGACAGTGATGATTTGAGTAGAGTGGTTATTAGAGTGGTAGATGCCAGAAGAGGCAGGCGAAGACAGAGCAGCCACAGTGTAGCTAATGTAGTGAACTTCGTCCAGAAAACGTGAGCTGACAGTTGGAGCACCCCTGAAACAAACTCCAGCTAGAAAGGTTATTTTGTAGCTCAGACATTGATAATGGTTTACAATTGACAGATTATTGCAATTGTAAGAATCCAAACACAGATATCCAGCTCCTTCACAAGAGCTAATTTTGGGGGATTACCAATTTGCCTATAGCTTCATTTTTTTTCCTGAAATGACCCCCCTTTACTTCTTTTTTTCTGAGAACTCAGAGCTATATAGATTGTTCTCTTTCTTCATGCACTTGTCAGCAACAATATGCTTTAACCCATTTTAAGATGCTATAGATTATCTAATTTATGTTAACCCCTTTACAGATGGTATAGATTTTCAAACTTAAGTTTCGAACAACTGTAGCTTTGTGGTGATTAAACATAGCTAGAATGAATGTGCCTCTTTACAACATGGTGCAGGTTTTATAAAGCATATAAAGTCATCCACGTGTACAATTACACTATCTCTAGGGCAAACAAGTCACACATTTAATGCATTCCTTTAAGTGTTCCACTCCCACCTCCGTGCTTGCGTGGGTGCCCCCCCCATCCAAACCCATTTTTCATATTAAAACGCCTGTCTCCTATTTTTTAAATAGTCATATTTTTACTGGATATTTTAAATGTAGTTCAGTTATCTTTGTGTATGGATTATCTTTCCTTCTGTCCATAATTTACAGAATTTAGAGAAAGTACGATGAGGAATGCTAAAGTTAAGAAGATACATGTGTTTAGTTGAATAATACTAAAGACAGATATGTCAAACCTTTTCCCTGATACCTAGATACTATGAGATGTATTTCTCTATGAAGATTTAAAAACCTGAGTCATTGATTGGTTATACAGTTTTGTGATGAGGTGGATATGTAATTTTTCACCCAATTCTTTGGAATAGTTTCTGCTTTACAACACTCAGCCCTACTTAGTTTAAGAATTAAAGATAATTCTTTTATATTTTTCTTAGAGCGGCATGTCCACAAATATCCTAATGCAAAGAAAATAGATCCTTAAATATTAGAAGAGGATATCTAGGATCTTACCTTGCATGTCCATCTCTTAGGGAGATACAGGGGGATACAGTTTTACCCACTCAATTAAATGAAAGGACAGTACATTAGTATGTTTTGAATATCTCCAGATTTGCAAAAGATCCTTCCAAACTGGTGATATCTTTGGGGTTTTCAGTATTTACTCTGGCAGCTAACACGAGAGTAAATTATTCCTGAGTTTAGTATCCAAACAAACCAGTTACTTATACTTTGGCCTGTAAACCTCTGCATGGAAAACATAAGACAGAATGTGGTCCATCTTCCCTTTTATGGGAGCCTTTTTAGGAGGACTGTTTTCTCTGCAGTAAGGGAAAGGAAAGCTAAAAGAGAGCAGGATACCTAACAATATGTCTTCTAATAAAAGGAAATATCCTACACAGTCTAGAACTTAAGTCCCTCTGCGGTAAAGGATGAAACCATGTATCTTTTTTTCCTTTTCCCCCAACTGGCTCAAAAAATTCGCTTAGGAAAAAGTTATCAAGATAGAATTTAGACAGATTGTTTCAGAAGAAAATATTCCAGAAGGGAGATATAGGTTCATAAATAAATAAAAATTCAAGATAGACTACTTGAGACAGAAAATTTGAGTAAATGTTTTATGACACATCAGAAAATGGGCATCACACAGTTTAAGGAAGATCATCTTTTAATGATTGAAACCAGTCTTTCTGAAGTGACTATGAAAGTAAGAATAACTACAACAAATAACTACTAATTCACATTCTACTCTTTGTAATCTTCCACACAATAATTTCGTTATCATTTACATCTCTTACTACTAGAACAGCATTTTGAAGTTGCCAAGCACAAGTTGTATGCAACTGAGTAGAAACAGCAAAATCTGCTCAGATTTCCAGAAAACCTGCAGAATGTGGAAAATGATAATCCTTAAATATGTCCATTTGGACACACACTGACAAAAATGTAAGCCCATATCCTTGTAAACAGCTTGGTTATAATGCCTGCTGTTGCTGTACAAAGGATTCCATACAGAAAAACTTTAGTAATGTGTAATAGATGGTTCATAGGCCAGTCATTGAATTTCCATTCTTAAATGTCTTTCAAAATAGGTAGCTCTCAGGAAATGCAATGTAGTGACAGTCCTGGGGTCTGTCTATTGCAGGGACACTGATGAGGGTAATCATATTTCCCCCTGATGAAGAAGACAAGTTCAGGTCCAGGATTTGTTTAGAACATCCACTCCTTTGCCAAATTTGCCACCGGAACCATTTAGTGAGTCCGTACCAAATGAAAATAATTGGATTGTGCTCAAACCACATCTGTAGAAACTAAAATCAGTTCAGTTGTATACATGTTGAATTTGAAAAGGTGCCCTTTTTTTGATCAGAGTGTTGATTTTAGTGACATCTTAAAAATCCTTTAGCAACATGCTCAGTGCAAAAAAAAAAAGTGTCACCTATTTTTTAACTATAAGATAAGGTGCATTTTGCAAACATACAGCATATTAAATCTTCATTTTGTAGGTTGATAATAAGAAAGGTCCTATTATAGCTGGTGCATAAATGTAAGAACTCATTTGCTTCCTGGAAAGTAAAAGAAAGTTAGATACTTATCAGAAAGTGGTGGAAAAATAAAACAGTTAATACTCAAATTCTCTATACTGAACATACCGTATTTTCTGTTAGTTAGCCTAATTTCTCAAGATGCAGATAAAAATTCTCTGATGAACTTCATGGATAAGATAGTTATTTTCCCACTCAAGGATACATGGAAGGCTGCTTCCTGAGTCTCCAGAACTGCACAGAGCCACTTAAGGAGTAGCAGTGAATTAAATCTGCTCTGAATGAGCACTTGCACTCTTTGCTGTCCCTTCTGACCAACTTCCATTTAGAGGTGTACGTACAACTCCTCTTGAAAGGAAGTTGGCTTATTCTATTTGTGATCCATTGAGTAAAATCACACATAAGCTCCACCATCTTATGCTTTATTCCCTCTAAACAAACCATGTCTGTGATTCTTGTAAATCAAGTAAATCACATACTCTCCATAAAAAAAGTGTTCTCTATTTGTAAAGGAAAAAAAGACATATTGTTTTAACAGTCAAATGTTTGAGTCAAAGCAATTTGCTTGTTGACAAAGACACTACAAAATTTTCAGTCTTTTACCTTAATTTAGCCACATATGGAACCAGCATAATTGGCATTCAGGGCTCTTTAATCACTGATGAAATTAATCATGTAATTTTAAAAGACAGTAATACAGAAAAAAAATTTTTACAACTACTATACTTAATTTTGAGAAGTATTTTTCTACTAGAACAAGTTTTTGTTGTAATAGGGCTTCTCAGTGAATGATTTTTTTCTATTACATAAATGGTCATATGAATTAATTTGTTTAATTCTAAATTATTTGTTACTGGACTAATGACAGGTCTTAAAGGTGATACAGTGTTTCCTTCACTTGTTATTATGTGACTATATTAGGTTAGCATTTTGAATACATTATATCTGAATAGATTATAGACAGAATTGTTGTCTTCTTTTTAGTGAATAAAAATAGTGGCAGAAATGATCAGAACAAAATATTGAGTTAATTTCCTAGGCTCAGGCTCTCAATCTCACACACAAAAAAACATTGGTCCAAACAGTCCACTTATTTTTTTCACCTTCAATTTGACTGATCACTTTGAAAATGAGCTCTTTTTCATTGTTAAAATTTACAATTTTCTGGATTGTCTCCAAAAGTTACAATGGATGCTGATGAATCATGGGCTATTGAAAAGTCATAGAATTGTATTAGGGATTAGCTGTAATTATTCACGTAAAATATTTAGCACAATTTTGGTGCATAATACAAGGTCAGTAATTAATCAGTGGAAGCTCTAGAATTTCTACATAAGACAGCTTACGGTCAACTGTATGACTGGCAGTACAGCAAGAAAACTTGTTTTGAGGTTATGATTTTTCATAGCAAGTATGTTGCTTTTAGATTGTATATATTTTCTGAGGTTCTAGGGGTGGGAGGGTTGAGGGAAACTATGAGTAAGTGCAAAATTCTCCCACACAGGCCACACCAATGCCACATATGATTACTGAAGAAAGGCTTCCATTTAGTGAAGATAGAGATGGTCATTCATTCTTCTTTATGTGCAAGGGGGCATGAGCACTAATATCTAAATCGTAGAGGCCTGAACCATGTCTGCTATTTTGCCAAAATTTACATCTGTCCACCTTTACCTGATTTTTTCCTCTAAATTCTGAGTGACTTGGTTTTACTGTATTGAACATTGTTTTTCCTCTATTTTCTTGTACTATTGCATTCATTTTTAGTTCATGAATTGTAGTCATTCGTCAGGGCTTCCACATTAAACATCTAGTGTGCACATCCTGATTTTGGACAGCATGTCTGTATGCAGCAGTCCTGTTTTGTATTAAAATCTTATCTTCATTTTAAAATAGCTTATTTTATTTTATCTCAATTATTTGAATTTTTAGTTCTCATTAATTTCTAGCTATTTTAATTTTCCTTTTAATTTTCTTTTCCTTTGTAAATTTTAGTCTCCTCAAATATCTACCATTTTTAATTTTACATAAAATCCCCTACTCAGTGATGTATTAATTTTTGTGATTTTTAAAATAAGTAGCTGGAAATAAACAAGAAATGAAAAGTTAGTACAAATACAGCTTTTGTTTAACATTCTAACATTCAGAGATGACCGTTTCATCTTTTAGCCCATTTCTCCCACAGTAAGGATGAAATGTAGTGATCTGCTTGATATTATAGGCCTTATTACTCATTTAGCCTTCATTTATGTTTTAATTTAAACATTTCAAAACTTTGAGGATGTATTAAAAATGCTAGTTGGCTATTACGGGCCCAGAAATATCTGCAGCCTAATTTATAACCCTTTTTTGATAAAATGAAAACAAGTACTAATAGTTTCTTAAGCCATATTTTTTTTTTGTTATATACTTACTTACTTTACTTTCTTTGATCTGCATGTACAGTATGAAATAATAAAAGTAATAAACATCACCACACCAACACTCAGTGAGATCATTTCTACCAGGCCAAGGAGGTTTATTTTTTCAGTCACTTGATGTCTGAACATTTCTGCCTTCTTATTACCAATGGTGCCAGTCTGTAATCAAGTTAATAGTTAGCATTATTTGGCTAGATTAGTGGAGCAAAATACTCGAAACCCCCATCATTGTATCAGTCTTTTTTCAAAACATTATGTAGGTGTTAGTCATCTGTATCTGTAAGAGGAGCCAATAGAATTCCCTTTGCATGTCAAAGGCAGTAAATGCTAAGGTAGAATATTTAGTGAGTGAAATATAATCCTTCTCCCCCTAAACATGTTATATAGCACTCTTCAATGCACTGGCTTCACTTATCCATACAATGGTCTTACTGAAATATTTTCCATTTTCCAAAGGATGTTACCTAGTGACAGAGGGAAATAGCAAGGGTAAATGGTTTTCTTCTTCTGAAGGCTTATGTAATGTATTTCCTAATTCCAAGCTAATCAATTCCATCATTTGTACTAAAAATATCGTCTCAGGCAATAGCATAAACTGTGTACACCTGCTCTAACCTGGTCTTTATAAACTTGGTTGGCATTGTAGTATCCACATTATGTTATTTGGAGTTAGATGTTTGCATGACTCTTTTCTAATACAAGCACTATGACAAGAAAAAATTGTTGAATAGTTTAATTATGAAAATAATCTAAAATTATAGGAAGTTCTTCATCTTTCTAAAATAAAAACACTGAAAACTAGTATAAACCTGATATTTCTTCATGTTTTGGTTCTCTCAAAATAATAATATAATAATATATAAACTAAACTCACCCATATTGGCAATGGAAAAGCATACAGGTTGAAATACTGTACATACGAATTCAATTTTCAAACCTCAAAAACTTTTCCATATACAAAGAAGTTTACAGTTTTTAGTGACTAATAGATGAAAATACTTACCTCGTTAATCCAAAGAATAGGCACAATATAGTTCTGCTTCAGATTCTTTAATGCTCTGTAATATACATTGAAAATAATTATGAAAATATATGGTAATATATTAAACATATATAACAGAAATGTTAGTAATTACTAGTGTAAATAAATGTTCGGAAATTAATTGGTCTTACAACATAGTTAAGTTCCTTGATTTCTGTTCCCTGTAATGAATCATTTAAAATTTAATATGGCTGTTTCTCAGACATCTTTCTTATAAATCTTTCTAATGCAGATTTCTAATTGGACTGATTTTTTTCTAAGCATGTATTTTCCCTTTGTATTTTCTCTTTCAATAAATTATACCCATGAGCTAAAGTTTGAATTCTAGAAACAAGGGTCATGGAAATATTTGGACAGATAGCAAAATGAGTGATGCCACCAAATACTCATTCCAAAATATGATACAATTCAAAATTACAGATGAATGTTATAATCATACAATTATTTAATGATATTAAGCCATAGAGTTCACATTTTATATTATTTCCACTTACTTTCATAGTTATACTCATTCTTATAAGAAAATATTAAAAATCATAATGAACCTTTTTCAAGAGACTCACTCAATGTTTTTTGCTGGCTTGACCAACATGTTGATCTGTAGCCGTTTTGCAGCTCGTAAAGTGAATCCTGTTATCTAAAAAGAGAAAAAAGTAAAATAATTACCAACTTAAAAAAAATTCTTTTATAATATCCAAAATTAATTTTTATGGGTTATGTGGTAACCAAAGTTGAAACTTGGGGAAATTTACTAAAAAATTAATTGGACTTATTAAATACAACATATATAACTCTGCATAATTACATTTTGCATATATATTCATATATTTATACAAATTATACACAAGCACAGAACAATTTCTATGCCTTACCTAATGTTAAAGTTTTAGTTAGATTTGTGAAATTTATCTGAACTGGTTTTGGGGAAATCAATAACAACAATAGTAGTGAAACCTAAAGCTCATATAGATAATTTACATCCTGAACTATGCATGGCCAAGTGTATATTCAGTCAGAATCGATACATCATTGATATAATTATAGTACCACCTCTGTCATTATTTAAACAGAAATATGACTAAAATTCTGGCATTTTGTTTAACAGTTGACAAGGAGAATATTAAACTAAAAGTTGAAACATTATAGGAAGTTTAATAGATTTTCCTTGACACTTAGTATAGTAGGTCTTGCTTCAAATGGACATATGCCCATAAAATTTCTTTTAATCCTTCATAATTTACAGTGTCTTTTTTGTATAAGCAATACTTGCATTAGGTATAACTTAAGCATACAATTTAATTTATACCAAATTGTTTAAAGCCAATTAGAATTATTTCCATCATTGCTGTTTCTGAACTTTGAATAATTTAAAAGGCTTATAAAGTTCCATATGCTGAAAAACTAAAATTGAATTGCCTTGGAATTTCATAAGCAAGAATAGAAAGAAATCAATGTAATTTTCCTTGCAATAAAAGTAAGTTACAAGAATTGTGATGCAGTAAATATAATCAATAAATATGATTGACAAAAAGAGAATTTCATTTTTCTCACTTTTAAAAAACATTAAATAAATCAGTTCAGTAATGTATTTGCTTACAGGTTCAACATCTAAATAGGTGCTGTGTTCTTCTTCATTTGGATTTAAGCCTTCAATAGTTTTTGCAATTTCAGGACTTGCATGTAGAAAATGAGGAAGTGAAATGTATACAGGTTTTCCTGAAAACAAGTTTTAAGGACAGCTGAAATAAATCATTTACCTCATTTCGCATACCTCTTAGAAAAGATTCCCTTGAAAATAAAGGTTTTTAACTAAAAAAAAAAAATGCAGAGTTGGCTTGGAATACTAACTAGGGGATGAAAGTGAGGGCATGTTATAACATCTAGTCGTTACCGAGCAAAAATAAAATACAAAATTCTGCATCATCCTTCTAAGCAGTCAGTGATGTTTGTTGTTCATTCCCATATATGAAGTTTAGTTGCTGATCACAAAGTTACAAGTATATGCCTTCATGATTTCAGGCAGTAATATGTCTGTGGACAGAATTTTTTTAAGAGGTTTTTCTTTCTTTGTTCTTAACCACTCTAGTATGAAGAAAGTGAGCAAAACAAGATAAGGCTTCCAATTTCATGTTTGAGTCAATTCTTATTTCAGAGACATACTGAAAATATACTTATTTTTATTTATTATTTTCTAGAGTTAGTAAAGTTACCAAAATATCAGATGGAGAAGTTGGGATACTCAGTGTATTCTAGGAGCTGTCTTTGTTTTATCCAAAGTCTAAAAGGAGCACAGGGATTCTGCACAGCAAAGGAAACCATCAAAAAATGAAAAGGCTACATATGGAATGAGAGAAAAATATTCGCAAACCACATATCCCATAAATGATTAACATCCAACATATACAAGGAATTCATATAATTCAAAAAACATAAATAACCCAATTAAAAAATGGGCAGTGAACCTAAAGAGACCTTTCTTCAAAGCAGCATGGGGAGATACCAGTATGGTTTTACCTAATAAGTTTTGCAACACTCAAACAACTGGGACCTGAAAAGCAGTACAAAAATCAAAACAAAAATATCCTACCACCACCCTTACTTTTTTATTGCTTTCTCATTTTAAATTATTGGCAGAAAGGCATCCTGGGTGAAGTTTACATTTTAAAGAACACTGCAAATTACGCCATTGATTGTGATGTTGAGAGAACTTTAACTTACCACCTTTGCATTTGCCAATGTCTAGTACACCATATAATGTACAGTTTTTTGATATAGTTTTTTCTGTGCAGAAACAGTGGTTGTCTGGATTTTGAAGTGGAGATGCGAAAACCATGGATGGAAGAATAAATCTATACACAGGAATTCCTTTCAGATTAATTTCAGATCCAAACACAGCATACATTGACCTAAACACAGATGACAAAGAGCTTCATTCTGGGAACCAGAACTTCATTCTGGAGATTGATTTTTCCTATTTTTAAATTTATGTTATTGCTTTAACTTAGAAAAATTAGATATAATCTTATTAGAATCCTTACTTAAATCTTAGGAAAAAAGATCTTGCAAGTTTTAAGGCACACCAGAGCTCAGTACCTGAGTTTTTAGCTATCCTTACCTTTGTTTTCAAAAGCTTCTGAGAATCATTTTTGCTTGTGAACTACCCTGGAGTATTTATACTGAAGACATTTCTCATAGTTAGTTTCCTCTAGAGATTAAATGTTTATAGGACTCTACCAAATCCTTTATTTGTGTCCACTTTACATAAAATAAACTTAAAATTTTAGTCTTCCGGATTTAATCCTGGAGACAAAGGCTGCTCACCTGCTGGAATGTGTGCATGTAAATGGTTTAATATATGTCTCCTATGCCTTCTTTAACCAAGTGTCCACCATAACCTTGGCAAATTGGCAATGTACTAGGGCTCAACACATGTTTTTTCTAATCCCCAGATAAGCGCATATGAAGAGATGCTGCTCTCTTCAATTTTACAGATAAAGAAAATATTCAGAGATATTAAATATTTGTCCACACCACAGAGTGTCTAGAAAATGACTAGGATTCAAGCAAACTGGTGTGGGCACCAGTGCTTGTGTGATAGCTACTGAGTAACATCAATCTGAAAAGATGTAGTGTCAACAGAGCACATTAACAGAGTTCTATGAGTGTGGCATCATCACCTTTCGAAACCTTTTTTTTGAAGTATAATTGATTTACGATGTTGTATTCGTTTCTGGTGTACAGCAGAGTTATCCACTTATGTTTGTGTATGTGTGCGTATTCCTTTTAAAATTTTCCCACGATAGGTTATTACAAAATATTGAATATGTTTCCCTATGCTATACAGTAGGACCTTGTTATTTATCCCTATTATATATAGTAGTGTGTATGTGTTGATTCCAAGCTCCTAATTTATCCCTCCCCTCTTTCCCCATGGTAACCATAAGTTCGATTTCTTTGTGTATCTGTTTTGTAAATAAGTTTATTTGTATCATTTTTTTTTTGATTCCACATCCAAGTGATACCATATGATACGTGTTTTTCTTTCTCTGACTTCAATTAGTTTGATAATCTCTATGTCCATCCATGTTCTGCAAATGGCATTATTTCATTCTTTTTTATGGCTAATATTTCATGATATATATATCTCCCCCACATCTCTTTACCCATTCATTTGTCTGTGGACACTTAGGTTGATTCCATGTCTTGGCTTTTATGAATAGTGCTGGTATGGACATTGAGGTGCATGTATCTTTTCCTCTTTAGAGTTTTCATTTTATCCAGATATATGCCCAGTTACTGAATTGCTGGATCATAAGGTAACTTTATTTTTAGTTTTTAAAGAAACCTGCAGACTGTTTTACCGTAGTGGACAAACCAGTTTACATTCCCACTATAAGTGTAGGGTTCCCTTGCTCCACACCCTCTCTAGCATTATTATTTGTAGACTTTATGATGATGGCCATTCTGAGTGGTGTGGGCTGACACTTCACTGTAGTTTTGATTTACATTTTCCTAATAACTAGTGACATTGAGCATCTTTTCAGGTGACTGTTGGCCATCTGGATGTCATCTTTGGAAAAATGTCTATTCAGATCTTCTGCCCATTATTTGATTGGGTGGTGGTTTTTTGGATATTGAGCTGTATGAGGAGTTTGTGTATTTTGGAAATTGAGCCCTTGTCTGTCACATCATTTGCAAATATTTTCTCCCAGTCTGTAGGTTCTCTTTTTATTTTGTTTATGGTTTCCTTTGCTGCGCAAAAGCTTATAAAAGATTGATTAGGTCCCATTTGTTTGTTCTAGCTTTTATTTTACCTTGGTAGGATGACCCAGGAAAACAGTATGATTTATGTCAGAGAATGTTTTGCCTATGTTCTCTTCTAGGAGTTTTATGGTGTCGTGTCTTATGTTTAGGTCTTTAACCCATTTTGAATTTACCTTTGTGTGTGATATGGGGATGTGCTCTAACTTCATTGATTTTTGTGTGATTGTTTAGCTTTTCCAACACCACTTGCTGAAGAGATTGTCTCTCTGCACTGTATATTCTTGCCTTGTATTTCAAAGATTAATTGACCATAGGTGTGCAGGTTTACTTCTGGGCTCTCCATTATGTTCCATTGATCCATGTCTATTTTTGTGCCAACACCATGCTCTTTGATTACCGTAGCATTGTAGTATTCTCTGAAGTCTGGTGGGGGTTATACCTTTAGCTTTGTTCTTTGTCCTCAATATTGGTTTGGCAATTCTGGGGTCTTTTGTGGTTCCATATAAATTTTAGGGTTATTTATTCTGGCTCTGTGAAGAGTGTCTTGGGTAATTTGATAGGGATTGCATTAAGTCTGTAGATTTCTTTGGGCAGTATGGACATTTTAGCAATATTAATTCTTCCAGTGCATAGCATGGGATATCTTTGCATTTCTAAAATCATCTTCGACTTCCTTTATCAGTGTTTTATAGTTCTCAGCATAAATCTTTCACCTTGGTCAGATGTATTCCTAAATATTTTACTTTGATAGAATTATACGAGATTGTTTCTTTACTTTCTCTTTCTGATAGTTTATTGCTACTGTAAAGAAATGCAACAGATATCCGTTATGTTAATGTCGTCTCCTACTACCTTACTGAATTTACCTTTTCTAATAGTTTTTGAGTGGAGTCCTTAGGGTTTTCTATATAAAGTATCATGTTATCTACATATAATAATAATTTTAACTCTTCTTTTTCAGTTTGGTTTCCTCTTACTCTTTTTAATTTATCACTGTGTTGAATTGTAGTGGTCAGAGTGGGCATCCTTGTCTTATTCCAGTTTTTAGCAGGAAGGCTTTCAACTTTTCACCATTGGATATATTATGTTGGCTGTGGGTTTGTCATGAGTACCTTCTTATTATGTTGAGATACGTTTCCTGTATACCCACTTTGGTAAGAGTTTTTATCATGAATGAGTTTTGAATTTTATGAAATTCTTTTTCTGCATCTTTTGAGATTACTATGTAGTTTTCATCCTTCTTTTGTTGATGTGGTGTGTTACATTGATTCATGTACTTTGAACCATCTTTGTGACCCAGGGATGAATCCAACTTGATTGTAGCTTTTGATCTTTTTTATGTGTTGTTGGATTTGATTTGCTGATGTTTTATTGAGGATTTTTTCATCTGTATTCATTAAAGATATTGGCCTGTAATTTTCTTTTTTGAAAGTATCTTTGTCAGATTTTGATTTTACATTGACTCTGGCTTCATAGAATGAATTGTACTGTTTCCTCCTCTTCAGTGTTTTGGAATCATTTGAGAAATATCAATAAAAGTACTTCTTTGTATGTTTGGTTCATTTCTGCAGTGAAAGTATCTAGTCCTTGACTTTGGTTGGAGGGAATTTTTTTTTTAAATTACATTTTATTTCACTTCCAGTGATCACTCTGTTCAAATTATCTATTTCTTCATGATTCAGTTTGGTGACCTGTATGTTTTTAGAAACTCCCATTTCTTCTAGTTTGTAATTGTTCACAGTAGTCTTTTTGTTTGTTTGTTTGTTTTCTGTGATGTCAGTTGTATTTGTCGTCTTTACTTTGTTATTTTGTTAATTGGGTCCTCTCTCATTTCTGTTTGGTGAGCCTGGCCAGAAGTTTGTTGATTATTTTTACTCTTGCAAAAAACCAGCTCTTGGTTTTATTGATTCTTTTCTATTGTTCTCTTAATCTCTATATGATTTGTTTCCTCCCTGATCTTCATTATTTCCTTCCTTCTGCTGACTTTGGGGTTTTTTGTTTGTTTTCCTTTTTCTAATTCGTTTAGGTGGTAGATCAGTTTGTATATTTGAGTTTTTTTTGTTTTTTGACAGCAGCCTGTATCTCTATGAACTTCTCTCTTAGGACTACTTTCACTGCATCCCATAGATTTTGTATAATTGTGTTTGCATTGTCATTTGTCACAAGGTATTTTTAATTTCCTCTTTCATTTTATCTTTGACCCATTGGTTTTTTAGTAGCATATCATTTAGTCTCCATGCAATCATTTTTTTCTCGTTTCTATTTCTGTGGTTGATTTCTGGTTTTGCACTGTTGTGGTCAGAAAAGATGGTTGTAATAATTTCTGTTCTCTCAAATTTGTTGACATTTGTTTTGTCTTCTAGTATGTGATCTATCCTTGAGAATGTTTCATGTGCACTTGAGAAAAATATGTATTATGGATTTTTTTTTGGACAAATTGTTCCAAAGATATCAATTAAGTATAACTATTCTATTGTATCATTTAGGATCTCTGTTGCCATATTGATTTTCTGTCTGGGAGATCTGTCAGTTGATATTAGTATGGTAAAGTCTGTTACTATTATTGTATTTCCATCGGTTTCTTCCCTTATGTCTGTTAGTATTTGTTTTATGTATCTATGTGCTCCTACATTGGGTACATATATGTAAACAAATGTAACGTCCTCTTGTATTGAATGTTTTATCATTTTATAATGTTCTTCTATGTCTTTCTTCATAGCTTTTATTTTAGTCTATTTTTAGATATGAGTAACACTATCCCTGCTTGCTTGTTATTTGCATTTGCCTGAAGTATCTTTTTCTATCTCATTACTTTTAATACATTTGTGTCCTTCACCCTAAAGTGGATCTTTTGTAGGCAGCACATTGTAGAGTCTTGCTTTATTATCCAGTCTGCTACTCTTTTTGATTGAAGCATTTAGTCCATTGCTACTTGAGGTTATTATAGATGAGTTTGTATCTATTGTCATTTTAAACCTTGTGTTTCCATTGATTTTATATTTTGTTTGTGTTCCTTTATTTTCTTTTTGGTTTCCTTTTGTGGTTTGATGATTTTCTTTTGTATTATGGTTGAGTCTTCTTTTTGGTATTTGTGAATCTAGTGTGTATTTTTGATTTATGGTTACCCTGGTATTTATGTATGTGAACTCATTACTCTATCTACTTGCATTAGACTGGTAGTCCTATAAGCTCAAACACATTCTTTAAAAAAGCTACATTTTTTTTACTCTGTTTCCCTACATTTTATGATTTTTGCATTTTATTTTACATTGTCATATTTATCTTTGTACTGTTAATTACAGTTATAATTGCTTTAAGAAAATTTTTGGCTTTTTTTCCCCAACCTATATACTGACTTGTTTAAGTAACTACAGTCTTTTTAAGTTGTTTTTTTTTTTTTAATGCAGCTACTGAGGATTGAACCCAGGACCTCATGCATGCCAAGCATGCACTCTACCATTGATCTATACCCTCTCTCTACAATCCTTTTTTATATTTGTTTTTCCTATTGTAATATTTTTTCTTTTCCCAGTAATTTCTTGTTTCTTTTATATTTGGGGAAGACCTTTCAATATTCCTTTTATTTTACGATTAGTATTACTGTATTCTTTTTTTTTTGTCTGATAAATTCTTTATCTTTCCTTCTATTCTAGTCTCCTTCTGTTTCCCATAATTCTAATGATAATCATGCTGAGTAGAATATCCTAGGGTGTTGTTTTTTTTCCTTTCAGGACTTTGTATATATCTTGCCACTCCCTCCTGGCCTACAAAATTTTTGTAGAGAAATCAGCTGATAGCCTTATGGGAATTCTTTTGTAGATAACTCTTTGTTTTTACTCTCTAGACTTTTCTCCTTATCTCTAACTTTTGCCTTTTTAATTATAATATATCTTGGCATAGATCTGCTTGGGTTCATCTTGTTTGGGACCCTCTAAGCTTACTATTCCTGCCTATTTCTTTCCTTCTTTAGGTTTGGAAAGTTTTCAGCCATAATTTCTTCAAATACATTTTCAGTTGCGTTTTCTCTTTCTTTTCCTTCTGGGATTCCTGTTATTCATAAATTGTCATGCTTTGTATCACACCTTATGTCTGATATGTTGCTTTCATTTTTTTTATTTGTCTTTCTATCTGCTGTTCTAATTGCATGGTTTACATTATTCAGTCTTCCAGAGCACGTGTTGGTTCTTTTGCATTATTTAGTTTTCCGTGTTGCCTTTAACTCAGTTTTCATCTTGGTAATGAGTTTTCTGATTTTGTTTGGCTCCTCTTTATTGTTTATAGTTCTTTATTATAATAGATAAGCCTTTCTTTCTATCAATAGCCTTTCTTAATTCCTTTAACATTTTATTACTTCTTTGAACTGGAGATGGCTGTTTCATTGTTCTTTTAGAGGATATCTCTTCTTTTCTTTGGGAATGGCTTCTCTGCTTTTTCATTTTATGTATACTTTTCTGACTATTAATTTAGGAGTAACAGTTGTCTGCTGTGGTCCTGAAGGGCTGTTTTTATGTGGGAGTATCCCTGTGTAGCCTGCATGAGTCTTATATTTTTGTCGTTAGGGCTATTTTTCATATGGATGCCTGACATGTCTTTCCTCAAGGTGTGCTGGCTATTATCCCTTTGATAGTGTTTGGTGTTGTGATGACCAGAAACTGTAGTGGATAATGGGCAGGGCCTCCTGTTTGCTCTGTGTTTGTCACAGCCCTGATGGGAGGTAGTGTGTGCTTCCCAGTTGTTGGAGTAGAAGCCTTTAGTTGTGGTTCTAAGCTGAGATGTGAGATATGTGGGAGTGGAGCACTTCCACTGGAAAAGGGAACACTGAGTATTCTCCAGGAGCTTTCCACCAGAAACTGTGCTCTTTGATGTTGCCTGTCACCTGTTGTGCATGCTCACAAAGTACACTGTTGTTAGCACTGCCCTCAACCCCACCTCAGCTGTGGGAATGTTTGCAGTTGGCCAGGATGCTCCTCAAACACTTTACTCCCAAAGCCACCAGTGCAAAGCAAATTAAGTCTGGCACCCAGACCTGCCATGGCAGTGCCAGGAATCAGCCCAGACTTCCACGTGCTTGCACCTACAGTACCCACCACTACCTGTACTGGCCCCACTCCAGCCATGAGAGTACCAGTAATCTTGGTTATGTGTCAGACGATGTACTCTTGAAGACTTAAATCTGCTGAAGTCATGCACCTGCTGGGAATCTGCTCAGATTTCAGTCCTCCTTCTGAAGTCACTCACCTTCTGGGAATAGACTCAAATTTCAGCCCCGCCTCCCTGTCTGTGCAATTGACTGGCAATTGTGTACTCCCAGAACTTTTAGAGGTGGTGCCACACCCACTGTGAACATAAGATTGAGGCTGCTATGGGAGGGCCACGTCCCTCCATTTCTGTGCATTGACAGTGAGACTTCTATGGCAGACCGGGGCTCCATTCTGTGCACAGCCCCAGTTATGGCCCAGAACACACTCCAGGCCATTCGTGCTGTGTTCACCCAGCTAAACTGAGTCCTCTCCCTGGGTCTTACTGCTGAAGCCCGAGTTTCAGTACCCAGCTGCCTCACATATCAGCAATGCCCATCTCTGGCTGGAATGTACAGAGAGGGGGCACAGATGGTCTGTGCTAGTCTCTGTGTCCTGCCTGCCACAAGCAAGTGGCTGCATTCACCTCTGAGCCTTTGAAACTCCCTATCTGACCCGGCAGATCTCTCAGCCAGTGAAAGAGGTTCCCAGGGTGAGGGAACTTTCCTCCTCTTCTTTCACAGCTCCTTCCCAGGGGTGCAGGTACCATCCCAGTTCCTTTTGTTTTGTTTTGTTTTACCCAGTTACATGGTAATGTTTCTTGCAGCTTTGATTGTAAGTGATACTCTGCCAGTGTTCAGTAGGTATTCTGTGATAGTTGTTCCATATGTAGATAGTTGTTTGATGTACTTGTGGGAGGAGGTGAGCTCCATGACCTTCTGTTTTAATCCTGACCTCTACCTTCATCTTTGGACATCTTTAGAAAGAATGGGCATCTCCTTCTAGACTTGACTGATACTAAACATACTACTAATTTGGAAAGAGAAAGGAAAAATTGTTCTTGCTTAGAAATGACAAAGAACATTATTTGCATATATGAAATTACTTTCTACAACTTTCAATTTTTTAAAGATTTAATAAACACATTATAAATTCCATAATGTATTTATTATTAATGTATCAGGAAAATTTCCCCAAATGCATTTTATTTTTTTCAAATAACATGATTCTTAAGTATGAACTTCTTAGTCTGTGTTTTGTCACTTAGGGAAGCAATTATGACTTAAACAAAGATATCAGTGTAGTTCTCTTACCTGCAAATGTCAGAGGAAAAGAATTGCAATACCCGGGTCTTCTCAATGAAAGGTGGAAATGAGGCAGCATCTGTTTAAAAGCCAAGCGAGTGGCAAGGGATTAGATGTAATTTGTGTCCTAGACAAATATAAAAATCTTGATTCCAGCATGGTTAATAGAAACATAATGCAAACTATATATGTAATTTGAAAAATCTCTGGTAGATGTATTTTTTAAATGAATAAAGTATCATAAATGTTTTATTTAACCCATTGTATCCAAAATACCATCATTTTAACATGTAATCAATGTAGAAATTAACAGAATCTCAAAATCCAGTGTAGACTTTATACTTACAGCCCACTTCAATTTGTACTAGCCACATTTCAAGTGCTTAATTGTGACATGGTTAGAAGCTACCATATTCAACAAGTCTGTATAGTATACACATTCATTGATAATTAATTTCATATTGAATTTTCCCATTTATTAAAAATAATTGAAAGTGTAAAAAAATGGCAAAATCACATGTTGTTTAAACTGATTTTGTTTGTTTTTTTTGAAATCTCCCACCCTATCAGTAGAGTAGCACTTTTCTTACCTTGAGGTTCATTTAGAACTCCTGTTTCATAAAAATGTTGTTCTTATTTTGATAGTGATTCATTTATCTGTCTTAATGGCTGTTTAACATTTTTAAAATCATTTATTAAAGTTCTCTCACTGAGCAGAATTTTATGCATATGGTTTGAAGATGTATACATCAAAGTAAAAAACGCATTTGTTGAGTTTTTTGAATCTCTATTATGGTTATAATCCATGGCACATGCTGGATATGTGAATGAATAACTAATAATTTATCCATTTTCTCCTCAAATGAGTATCACCAAAATGTGCCACCACAGAATGTGTTTATTCAAAACAGTAAGACCCATACTTCAGTTACCAAGTTCTTTTTATGGTAAGTGTGCCAATCTTAACAATCTTACTACATTTTGCTTATACTCTTGTGGTAAGTGAAATATAGTAGAAGATCACAGTAACCTTAATCCTGACATTGAGAGAATGGGATACTGAAAATTAGCTTAAACTCCCAGATAGGTCCCTGAATGGGCATTGCCTACAACTATCTTCCCAAAACCTTAGCTGTTAAAAGAAAAGAATACATTGAAAAACTTTAAAAATCATCTAAATATCATTGAAGATTATGTCATCATGACACCAGTAGTTACCATGGGCCATGACCGCTAGATAGCTGATACTAGCAGGATGCTTTTTAAAATATATTCAGATGTAAATCAGCGTTTTCATTTTATGTTTCTTTAAACTTATTGAAGAAGGATGAGGAAGTACTTCTAAATCATGATGAAAACACATCGGAACTTTTTCCATTTCATTATTCTCTTTTCCCTAGTGCTGTAACCAAGAATTGCTCTCACAGGGATTCCATCAGAGTCCCTGGCCTGTTCAGTCTATCTTTGCTCCCAGGTTATTTTACTTCTATTTTCTTAAATACTTTTAGCTTCATTCCTGATGCTTATATATTTATGTTATTGTCATTAAAAAATCTTCTACCTTCTTTTTAAAAACTTCTTTATGTCTCAGTTTTGGACAAAATTATTTTTCTTCCTTGAACCTATAAAGAATACTATTTAGGATAAGCTATGTATATTTCTCTCTGTATCTACGGTCTAAATTATTAAGCTTATGTAATTACTAGATTTAGTGGTATTGGGACATTTTACAGTGTATTTGCAGAAGTGCACTACTTAACAAAGAAATTTCTTCACCCACTTATATGGCTCAAAGAGCTACAAAGCAAACTTTGACAGTGGTTTTGCTGTTTTTTTCCTACTATAGAGTGTTAACATAATTAAATAAACATGCAAAACTCAGCATTAAATTTGGAAAAATAAATATTCTTCGTGTTTCCTTTTTATTCCCTTTTATATCACTTTGTATTTAACTTTTTTCATCGTCATTATATTATTTTCCATAATGTATTTCCACACCAACTTTGTAAACATTATGCTCTGCTTCTGTTCCTCAGAAGCTGAAAGGTAATGATTGATTTTAAATACCTTATGGGATTTTATTACCATTGCTTTTTAACATCTTGATTCTTAAACTAATAGGCATATGTGTATTTGGCTTTTCTTAAAGAAGCATAATAAGCCAGATCTAACCACACTTTAAGTTCATAGTACCTTCTTTCTTTCCAACTCTTAATACCGAGTATACATTTTTACATACATTTTTCATAGTTAGTACACATGTAACCTTGTTTTTGTTGCTGAACTTTTCTCTCTCTGACCATCTTATTCAAAATATATTGTTCTGTTTTGCAACTTCACTGATTCTACCTCATATTGAAACCTCCACTTGCACATGCATTTTGCCTTTTGTAGTTATCTTGAGTCTTTTTAAAACACTTTCAGTTTTGAATTATTATCCATAGAGTATTTACAAAAGGTGTGAACAGTAACTACTGTACGTTTTTCTAACCCTTTAATTCTGTGTCCAGGAAAGCAGTTGATTAAGTCAAGTTTTTACAAAGCAAACATTTCCCCAGTAATATAGTAAAGGCTAATCCTCAGTGGTTAATCTTCAGAAATCCCATCATGTTAGACAGACATTTACTAAGCCTGTACCAGAATAGACACTCTGCATTATGTTGGAGGGATATAAAGATAGATAAATGAATAAACTCAGCCTCCAGAACCGTGTAGTAGGTATGGTGATGTATTTGTGGGACAAAGGAGATGGTTCCATTGTGATTATTACCACAAAACATTACCCTTACCTGTACCATTAATCATATCACAGTAACTTGGCCAATAGGAGAAAGTCCTTAGGAATTTAAAAAAAAAAAAAAAGAAAATGAACATTCTCATGTCAAGAGCACCTTCTCACATTACTTTGTCCATTATGATTCATTATTTCTGCTAAACTAATATTGACTAGACATGACAAACTTCAAGTTTAAAAAGTGTTCTAAATCATTTGGTCTTTTTTTTTTTTTTAAGTTTTCATCTTGTTGAGATAAATGAAGTGTCTGATACCATTAACTGGCCAGATTACAAAATAAAAACTGCCAAATGTTGTTAGTTAGGAACAACTTGCAACAAAAAGAGTTCTCCAAAAAGAATATTGAGAACTGTGTATCAGGAATTTAGATCTTTAAGGAAAGTTTTTTTATGCAATGGGAGAACTGGATTGTGTCATAGTATGTTGAGTGTTCAAACTGAACTGGAGGAAAATATTAAGTGGATAACTGATGTAAACTCTGTATGAGGGAGAAGAGGGGAGTGTAGAAGAGGAAAGAAGGAGAAGCAGATGTTTGATCAATAGAGACTGAAAATGTGTAGATGGTGGATTTATACTCTCCCCCCTTTTAACTTTTGTATGAGCTGGCATTAAAGTAGAACAGAGTTTACACATTTATACTCTGGTATCTACATAAGATATATGTTAAAATATCTGGAAATAATAAAAACAATAGTAGTGATAGTTAGTTTTTGATGATGGAAAAATGGGTGGTTCACACTCCTACCATACAGTCCAGTAAGATATGAAGGCAAGCTGTTGCTTCTTGCCGTGGTCAATTAACCTTATCATAATCTTAATGTGAAATTCTTACCAAATGGGAGCATTTAGTAACTCTCCTCCAAATCTCTCTGTAATATTGAACAGAAGGATGTGATTTTCCCCTGAGATGACCATTTAGAAGTCTGTTCTCCTTCATTAGATTTTTTTATTAAAAATGTGACTATGAACTCTGTAGAAGAATAAGGACTACATGTGTATTTAACTGGTTAATGCCACTATTAGATAGGGACTTATCATAAGGCAACTGTTAGTTAATAAAAAGATTTCATCTTGTTTTATTTTGATTGCAGTATTCTTTGTCAGGAAGTAACTGATCTAAAACACATTTCATCTTTGAGAAGGAAAGGCTTTCTTCCTTGATATTTATTGGAGTTTGTCCTATTTTAGACATATGGTAAATCAGGTATACTTCAGATGAACAGGTAGGAGGAGCTTGGTTAGAAAAAAATCATGGCTCTATGAACATATTTCCATTACTGTTTCACAAGAGACATGTTCTTTATGTTCAAGTTTAATATGTAAATTTTAGGACTTGAAATACTAGTTTTATTTTTGCATTGACAAAGTTTTTAAAAGATGAGTTATCAATATAAAAAATTCTTTGAAGAAAATTTTGAAGGAGAAAGTCATGAAAGCACTGGCATGAATTTATTAAGCTTCCATCTTTGTAGACACATTAAGCCATGTCACTGGAAGGAACATTTTTTTTTGACATGCTCAGTAAACAAAACAAAACAAAACAAAAATAACAGTAAGATATATTTTCCTACCTGCTAGACAAAGAGTTGATGTGTTGTCTTCCTTTCCATTCATGGTTATGTAATTGTATGGGTACATGATAGTGCTGGTTATGCCGCAGAGATGGAAACAGTCCCCTTAGATTTCTTTAGGTGAGAGAACTTGTGCATAGAGGCCAACCCCCAAGTAGGGCTGGTACTCGGCAGCTCTGTGCTGGTGTGGCCAGTCGTCGCAACTAAAGGGATAACGCCTGGCACAACAGGAGTTCGTTCCTAGGGCTGAGATACAGGCCGCTGTGTTCCACAGGTGGGTGCCTGTGCCTTAGCAGTTGTTACTAGACCACTTACCTGTCTTACAGTCCTGTAGTGTCACACACACACACACACACACACGCACACACACATACACACACACACACACACACACACACACTTTACCTGGATACTTACTTTTTGCCCTTATATGTGTCAATTATGGCAACTTTGCTTATGTTGTCTTTTCCGGTGAAAACTTTATAAACTCCATCTGCGGTATTATTGTACTGGAAAGAAATGCACAAGAAAAAATTACCTTTAGAACAAGCCATATTTTCCGTGTTAGAAAATATATAATCAATTCCCTTTTGCATTTGTCAAAAACTGCTTGTTCATACTTAATTTTATATGATTTGAAATATACCTAAAGTTTTAAACTTACTGGTCTTTAACACTTGAAAAAGACAATATAAATGGTGTGTGATTAGTGCTAGATGCTAGATGCTGATACAAAGGAACAAGACAAATATCCAAAGATGATATGATCCAACTGCAGCACTCTTTATCATAATTAACCCAGTAAAGCCATTTTGATCACTACTCCTGTTATACTGAGGTGAGGGGATATTGAACAGAATCTTTATGACAGATTTCTAGTGTATTCTAAATGTTGTGATCTCTAATAAATGGTAACTTAAGTTTAGGTACACATTAAATTAAAAACAATTAGTCCAGGAAAAAGTTAAGAGTATTTGAGTTAAAAATTGTAACAGAATCTCTGATCACTTAAGGTATTCTACATTCCTATTTAATTGATATATAACCTGCAATTCTAAAAAACCATCTAAAGTAAAATAGGAACAATGTATTAGAAAATACAATTAATATCACATACAGTGTCAAATGAAATCTTAGTCAAAATTTCAATGCAAAAGTCAGCTCAAAATCATCAACTGTAACTAAGGACATCACCAAGGTCACATGTCTTTAATAGCCAAAGTATTATTCCATGACATTTGTAGATTACTAGAAGTTCTTATCAACTACTTCTATGAAAATGTGCCATTACTGATTTAACAGTCTCTGTGTGTGCAGTTTTGGCTGACTTATAAATTTACATTCAAACATGTTTGCAAGAGTTGTAGAGAGGGAGAAATGACATGAGTATATTTGATACAAAGAAAAATACAGTATTAAATTCGATGTTTTAGAAGGGAAATCAAAACCAAAAATAGTGCTTAAAAGCCCTACTAATTTACAACCTAACTTCAGACAACTTTATTTTTATTAAAGAGTGAAAACTTAATTAAATCTCACTTTCTTAATTTTAAATTTAATTGTTAAATTCAGGTAAGGAAATTTTCCCAACTGAGAATGCTAAATCCATGTGAGACAGACTTTTTAAAAAAGGATTATGTATTCCTAGGTCACAAATAGGGTTAATACACTAAACTATAAAACTATGAACTGCCAATGCCATTATGTTTATCCAATTAAAGTCTAACAACATCAGCATTAATTTTTAGTACTCACAGGAAAAAACACACCAACTGTGGTAGAAATAGGGTATGGAACCGCATTGAGGAATGGATCCGTATAGCCCCACAAAAGTTCTTTCACAGTTCTCTTTTGAAACATAGAAGATTTTGAACTTTTCACAAATGCATTGAGTATTAGTTGAATAAATCTACTTGGATAGAGGTGGGGTGCAGCCTACAAGAAAAATCACTGTTTAAGACATCAATTGTAGTATGAAGTTTTTAACGAATAAATGGATAAGTAATAGAATTGAATTTAATGAAACGTTTTTTAACTGAATCATTAAAATTACTGCAAAATCTTGGCAGGACAGAGTGTAATGTTTCTTAATCTCTGAATGATTTCATTTGTGTGCCTCAGCGTGAGCCACAAGAAGACGACTTTCAAAGTTAAATCCTACCTTTTTAATGGTGCACTTTAAGTGATCATCTAATTCAGGTGATTATTATATGATTTTGTTATGTTTCCAAACAACCATAATTCAAATCAGTGATATAAGAACACATTTTCATAAAAATGACTGAGCAATTAATATCTAATGATAGTTCTAATCATGAGACTATGTATTTTGGATTCTAGAGTATTGCAAAACAAGTAATTTTGTTATTTGTCTACTCACTGCTACAGCCAGATTGAGGACGGTAAATGTGTCATTCTCTGTTCCAATTGATAGTGAAGGTTCAAAGATGGCACCCTTGTGCTGATTGAAAGAGACCGTGTGGGTCTCAGAGTCCTGCTTTATAATTTCCTTGGCTAGATAACGAACTCTGAAAACCACAAGTAAATAAAATTCAGAAAAATTGTTTCAAGTGAACATTGATTCTTGAATGACATACATTCATGCAACAGATATTTTTTAATACATAGACTGTGTCGAAAATTATGCTAAACAAGTAGGTTAAAATGATAAATAAGCCAATGCTGAGTTTCTAGGAAATTAGATAAGGAGGGCCTTCAATTTAAAATAACAGGGGAGAAGGAATATGTGTTATTATGGGAGTTTACACAGTCTGTGGGAAAACAGAACAGGTTCAAACCCTGGCTTGAGATGGTCATGGTGAGGATAATGGACAAGATACAATTCCACATAAATGGTCTGAATGCCAAATAGAAGTTTAGTTAGGTAAAACAGGGTAGAAAGTATAAAATAAGAAGTAAGAACATGATGTACTTTTAGAAATGAACATGTTTCAATATGGTTGGTTTACAGAGCTGAGTAAAGACAATGGTAGGAAATAAAGTCACTGAAATAAGCTCGATCTCAGTCATTAAAGATTGGTTCCCATACTCAAATGTTTTGCTTTTATCCTGATGGTGAGGAGGAAACAGTAGAGAAGTTTAAGAAGGGGTATAGTAAAAATAGAGCACATTTTCTTTTTTTTTAATTACTGAAGTATAGTTGATTTACAAGGTTATGTTAGTTTCTGGGGTACAGCATAGTGATTCAGTTATGCATATATATATTTAAATATTCTTTTTCATTATAGGTTATTACAAGATATTAAATATTGTTCCCTGTGTTATAAGTAGGACGTTGTTTATCTGTTTTATATGTAGAATTTTTTATCTGCTAATCCTAAACTCCTAATTTATTCATCCTTCACCCCCTTTTCTGTTTGGTAACCATAAGTTTGTTTTCTATGCCTGTGAATCTGTTTCTGTTTTGTAAATAAGTTCATTTGTATCATTTTTTTAAGATTCAACCTGTAATAAATATTTTTCATTCTCTGACTGATTTCACTTCGTATCATAATATTTAGGGTCAGTCTATGTTGCTGCAAATGGCATTATTTTATTCTTTTTTATGACTTGAGTAGTATTTCATTCTATATATACACCATATCTTCTATAAATCATCTTTCCATAGATATTTAGGTTGCTTCCATGTCTTGGCTGTTGTAAATAGTATTGGTATAAACACTAGAGTACGTGAATCTTTCTGAATTAGTTTTTCCAGATATATGCTCGGTTGTGGGATTGCTGGATCATATGGTAAGTGTATTTTTAGTTTTTTAAGGAACCTTCATAATGTTCCCCATAGTGGTTGCACAAAATTCCATTTCTACCAACAGGATTAGGAAGATTCCCTTTTCTCCACAGCCTCCCCAGCCTTTATCATTTGTGGACTTTTTTGATAATGGCTGTTCTGACCTGTGTGAGGTAATACCTCATTACAGTTTTGATTAGCATTTCTCTGATAACTAGTGATATTGAGCATCTTTTCATGTGCCTATTGGCCTTCTGTATGTCTTCATTGGGGAAATATCTGTTTAGATCTTCTGCCCATTTTTTTGTTGGGTTTTTTTGGTTGTTATTGAGTTTATCAGCTGTTGGTGTATTCTGGAAATTAAGCCTTCATCATATGCATTATTTGTAAATAGTTTCTCACACTCCATAGGTTGTATTTTCATTTTATTTATAGTTTCCTTTGCTGTGCAAAAGTTTATAAGTTTAATTAGGTCCCATTTTTTAATTTTTGATTTCATTTATATCATCTTAGTGGAATGACCTAGGAAAATGTTATTATGATTTATGTCAGAAGATGTTTTGCCCATGTTTTCTTCTAGGAAATTTATAATATCCTGTCTTATGTTTAAATCTTCAAGCCATTTTTACTCATCTTTACTTTCCTTTTTCAATGTTTTACAGTTGTCAGTGTATAAATCTTTCATGTTCTGGTCAGGTTTATTTCTAAGTATTTTTTTAAGCTATTTTAAAAGGGATTTTTTTTTAACTTTTCTGATATTGCTTACTGTAAAGAAATGCAGCTGATTTCTGTGTGTTAATCTTGTATCCTGCTCTCTGCTGAACTGATTTATCAGTAGTAGTTTTTTGTGTAGAGTCTTCACAGTTTTTATATATAGTGTGCTTGTGAGCCTGGGATGAATCCAACTTGGTTGTAATGTTTGATCTTTTTTATGTTTTGTTGGGTTTGATATGCTAATATTTTGTTGAGGATTTTTACATCTGTATTGATTGAAGATTTGATCTGTAATTTTCTCTTCTGGCAGTGTTTTTGTCTGGTTTTGGTATCAGGGTAATATGGGCTTCGTAGAGTGACCCTGAAATTATTCCTTCCTCTTGAATCTTTTGGAAGAGTTAGAGGAAGATCTGTGTAAGTTCTTTGTGTATTTGGTAGAATTCTGCAGTGAAGGTCCTGGACTTCTGTTTGCAAGAAGTTTTTATTTATGTTTTTTTTAAATTACAGTTTCTGTTTCACTTCTAGTGATCAGTCTGTTCAGATTATTTCTTCTTGATTCGATTTTGGTGGACTGTTTCTAGTAACTTGGTCCATTTCTTTTAGGTTGTGCAGTTTGTTCACATATAATTGTTCATAGTATTCTCTTACTTTTTTTTTTTGTTTCTGTTGTATCAGTTGTAATTTCTCCTCTTTCATTTCTCATTTTGCTTATTTGGATCTTCTCTTCTTGGTGAGCCTGTCCAGAGGTTTGTTGATTATGTTTACTCTTTCAAAAAGCCAGCTCTTGGTTTTATTAATTTTTTCTAGTGTTATTTTAATCTCTATATTATTTGCTTCCTCCCCGATCTTTATTATTTCCTTCATTCTGCTGGCTTTAGGTTTTGTTTGTTCTTCTTTTTATCATTCTTACAGGTTATAGTTTAGATTGTTTATTTGAGATTTTTCTTGTTTTTTAAGAAAGGCCTATATTGTTATAAACTTCCCTCTTAGGACTGCTTTTGCTCAGTCCAGTTGATTCTAAATGGTTGCTTTTTTCATTGTCGTTTGTCACAGATATTTTTTAATTTCCTCTTTCATTTCATTGTTGACCCATTAGTTTTTTAGTAACATGTTTTTTAGTTTCCATACAGTCGTCTTGTTCTCATTTTTCTTTCTGTGGTTGATTTGTAATTTTGTGCCATTGTGGTGTGAAAGGATGCTTGAAGTAATTTCTATCCTCTTAAATTTGTTGAGGCTTGTTTTGTATCTGAGTATGTGGTATATCCTAGAGAATGTTCCATGTAACGTGAAAGTAATGTATTTTCTGGTGTTTTTTGAATATAATGTCCCAAAGACATCAACTAAGTCTAACTGTTCTGTTGTGTCATTTAGGATCTCTGTTGCCTTGTTGATTTTCTCTCTGGAATATCTATCCATTAATATTAGCTGGTTGTAAAGTCTCATACTATTACTATATTCCCATCAATTTCTTCCTTTATGTCTGTTAGTTTTTTTTTTAATGTATTTAGGTGTTCCCATGTTGGTTACATATGTATATGTATTAATGAGTATAATATCTTCTTCATGTATTGATCATTTTATCACCATATAGTATCCTTTATCTTTTTTTATGGCCTTTGTTTGCAAGTACAAGATATTTACTGAGGTGAAATAGGGTATACATAATTCATTGCTCTGTCATATATCTCACTATTATGTCTATTATGTGATGTTATAATAGTTATCTTTTGTTACCTAACTAAAGAATGAAAAAACACGGGACTGAAATGTGAAAAACAAAACAAACCAAAAAAAAAAAAAATCCCACACTTCATTTTAATGTGGTATAGTAAAAGTGTAAATCCCTGTAAGATAGGTATTATAAATGTTTTGTATCCCTAAGCAGTGTCCAGTGCATGGTAAGTTCTTGATAGATATTTTTGAATGAATAAATTAATTGTTGATATTCTTTAAAAAAAGAATTCATGAAAAGATAGAATTATATTTTATTTCTAAAATAATTTCATCAAAACTTTATTTACTCTTCTTGGAGTACTGGTGACATACAAAGAATATAAGACTCTGAAACAGGAGCCTGAGCAGTCAGTTACTAGTCAATTACTATTTTCTCTTAGATAATTTTATTTCAAAATTAGATTACATACTATATTATCAACATTTAAAATTAAAATATTTAATTTTCAGGAACATTTATTTACAAATAATAATTGATTCAGTGTCAGAATAATTGTGTTCCCAATTCTAGTTTGCTTAGTTGTACCTACAATATTAAACCAGTAGGTGGCATGCACTAACAGAAAACTCCTTTAATCCTCTGTTTAGAATGTGCTTTTAAAAAGAAGATACTCACTCAAATTTTTGTTTAAAAAATAGAATATAAAAAGTTTTTAGAAAGATTTTGTTAATAAGGTCAAAGAGAGGAACTTGTCTTAGATTTAGCCCAAGGTTGCTCTCTTTGTACTCCTGCCAAAGCAAAGAAACTTAAAAAAAAAAAAAGATTTATGTTGGATCTGAGAGTATTATGAAGGAATTACTAGGTTTTTATACAGATGGTATAGGTTGGAATGTATATAATTAAGATCACAATCTGGGCAGTTTCATGTTTTGGCCCATGTTACAGCTTGATAATCAAATTTTCATCAGGCTCACTTCAGCAGCTAAATAAGCCTGTGGTTCTAACTGAGGAGGGACATCCTCCTCCACTTCCAATTTCAACTGAATTCAGGGTAAAATTTATGCAGAGGCAGGCTCACCTCAACACATGGAATACTCTCTGACTATTAACTTTTTCTGAAAGGTAACCAGTCATTTTCCCATTATTTTAAAGCACACAGGCAGACACTAGCAAGTCCATTTTAATGACATCATGAGACAAGATGACTCATAACTGATCATAAATCCCTTTGACATTGTTATGTAAATAGGAGTTTATTACTTACATAGTTTAGCTGGAAATCCACCTTCTCTTCTCCAGCCCTCCCTCATTGTCTCTGTAAGTAAGTGAATTACATCTAACCCACCCCTACTTTCATCCCTTAGAGAGATAGGTTAAAGCCTCCAAGAATA